CTTAGGTCAAAAATAAATTCAATAATTCTAGAAAAAAATTACAGTAAAATTTACTTAAAAAGAAAGAAATCTGAAATTTATGATCATAGAATATACAAGAGAATTACCCATTAAGAAAATCCCAATATGGGTAGAATTAAAAACAAAATCAACAAAACAATGGGTGGATTAGATGGATTTGGTGCATCTTTTTTTTCCTTTTACATATACATATATATATATATATATAATATCAGATATGCATTGGATTAATCTAAGGATTTTGTCAACTACCAAACATTTTAAATACTGAAGCCAACCAAATGCATGTATATCAATCCATTAAACAGGTAACACATGGCAATTATGATGTTGATTAATTTAGCATTATATCATGCTTTTGTCTGAATGCAAAAGAAATTTCCTGGTCAATGCCATTATATTGTAGTTCATTAATAGTTGTATGACATTATAATAAATAAGGACTTAATTTCATTAGCCTCTACACAGAGAGAAGAAAAGAGTTCAGCAATGGCTTCCATCATCGTTCCTTCTCATGTTTCTGTTGTTGAAGACGCAGAAGCTCTCAGAAAAGCTGTTCAAGGTTCATTAATCCATTATTTTTGAATTTCTTAAACTGATTTATGTTTTTATTTTATTTAACTTTCTACCAGAGAGTAGTTTGTTCATGTTTGTTTTTTTTTTTCTTAATCTCTTGTGAATCTGGTAGGATGGGGGACTGATGAGAAGGCTATAATTTTACTTCTTGGGCATAGAAATTCAGCTCAGAGGAAGCAAATCAGGATTGCTTATGAGGAAATTTACCAGGAAGATCTTGTCAAGCGCCTTGAATCTGAGCTTTCTGGGGATTTTGAAGTAGGTTTTTGAATTAGTTATGTCTTGGTTTTTCCAAAAGTATTATATTATTTATATAAAACTAATATAAACATATAGATATATATAAATATTGTAGTCTAAAGCCTTGAGAATGCTTGATGATTATAACAGACTTACTGATTCATTTTACAAAATGTGTAGAGAGCAATTTATCGGTGGGTATTGGAACCAGCAGATAGGGATGCGGTTTTGTGTCATGTAGCTATCAGGAAACATGAACCAGACTACCATGTGCTCGTAGAAATTTCTTGCATCCGATCACCGGAAGAGCTAATTGCCATAAGGCGTGCCTACCAGATCCGCTACAAGTGTTCCTTGGAAGAAGACGTTGCAGCTCATACCTCGGGAGATATTCGAAAGGCAAGTTCCTTTGTTTACATATGCTTATCCAATTCTTGACTTGTTTGGCATCTTGTTTTGTATATCAATCCACGGGAGTTCAATTTTGTGGAGCACACAAAGTTTGTATGTAATGATCATGAATTCTTACTTTGCAGCTATTGGTTGCTCTATTGACTGCATTCCGTTATATTTATGGCGCGGAGACACATGGAAGATTGGCGAATTCAGAAGCTGAAATCCTTCGTGATGCTATCATAGATAAGGAATATAATCATGAAGAAGTTATTAGAATTGTGAGTACAAGGAGCAAGCTACAACTATTGGCAACTTTTAATCGCTACAGAGAAGAACATGGTACTTCTATCACCAAGGTAGGTGTTAAGAGCTTTCACCAAAATTATGCTAGTTCGTATTTATATAAATAGTATAAAATGCTAAACTTCTCGAATTGACAACCTCTTCGTTATTTATTATTTATCTAGGAATTGTTGGATGATTCAGATAATGAGTTTGCAATGGTGCTGTATATAACTATTCGATGTCTTGTTGACCCAAAGAAGTATTTTGAGAAGGTAATACCTTCATGTGTACTAATTTATTCACCAAAAACATATTCTTATGTACTAAAACATGCACCTCGGATTTATATGAAAATAGGTATTGCGTAATTCAATCAAAAAGCTTGGGACTGATGAGGATGCATTGACCCGGGTAATCGTTACGAGAGCAGAGGTGGATTTGCAAGATATTAAAGAGCTTTACTATAAGAAGAATAGTGAATTGCTTGAACATGCTGTGGCCAAGGACACTTCAGGGGACTACAAACACTTTTTGCTCACCTTATTGGGGAAAGAGGATTAAATATCTCCATTTACTTCATGGGCGTTTTATATTTTGAGTTGGTTTTGTTTGGAGATTGCTACTATAAGTTCTTCTTTGCTTTGACTTAATTTTCTTTATGTTGAAATAATGTCTATGCACTTTCTTTTGTGGACACCATGCCATCTCTCTTACATCGGTGTTTAATGGCTTGTTATTTAAGTATTTGATTTAGCTAAAAATATATAAATCTTTTCTTTCTTTTTGTTTTCCTACTTAAAAATATTTTGCATAAGTAATATCGAAAAGTTGGGTCGTGTTATGATGCTATTACAAACGATTAAGAAGACTAACTAATATACTTGGAAAAGAGAAGAAGATTCAAGAAGAAAAAAGATGAAGAAAGAGGTTGAGATATAAAAGAGTTCGGGAATATAAAAAAGGTTAAAAGATTTTTAGCGTTTAGACGCTAAACTATTTTAAGAAAGCAAGAATTAAATGTAGAAAGGGTATTTAGAAAATAAAATTTAGATTTTTAGAAGTAGTAAAAAAGATTATGAGAAAGAAAACCTACACAGGTGAATTAGAGTAGAGTAGAGCAAGAAATAGACATTAGTTTAATGAACCGAATGGAAGCATTACCTACACTAAGATGGATAGCCTTAGATCACTAGACGTGGTAAACATTAGAACATTAAATTAA